ACATAGCGAAAAATGGATAACAAGTTATGCCGCACCGGCATGTGACGTGTAAATTCTCATCGAAATGCCCTTATGTAGATGCAGATTTAGCATCATGTTTGCCAATTTCCAATAGCCACGCCCTTACATTCCATATTAGGCCAAGATGTCATAAATGGCTGTGCAAAACGATTTTGATTGGATGCTGATCACAGTCGGACTCGTGGTCGATCGAAAGCTACTCCAGAGGGAAAACTGATTTTGCCAGGTGGGCCAGTGCAGTGCTCCAGTGCGCGACAAGATTTGGTTTTCAGTGGTGACCTAAATGGCCTTTCATTTGATTATGTGTGATCAAAGTTGTAGTGTGAATATGTTGTAATGGAAGTTTGCCAGATCTCTAAGTTGTTTGCAAATCTCAAAATGCCATTATCTCTTCAAAAAAGACTGATGGAAAATCGCCCCTTTGGAAACTTGGGTGCTGTCCTGGGAAAGAATGCTGACTTGATACCAAGGTTCTTCTGTGAATACATCAAAAGCCATAGTTTGGTAGTTGAATCTGTTTCTTGAAATATAACCAAAACACACTTTGCTTGAAGTCCAATTTGATCTTGTATCCTGTAAAGGAGGAAACTCCCATTTTCAGCATGCTGTTTTTTTCTGTTTTCACATATCCTATGATCGTTTTGTTGAGTCAAGCATGGTCCAAACACAACTGCTTTTGGTCGGCTTATCACGGTCAGAAACCGTCAAATCTCCAACGGTAACTTTCTATAGAATTTTAACTCCGATATAAACTTTGGGGAAACAGTTTAGAAAACAAAATTATGTTCACATCGAAGTTGCTCGTGGATGGAGATGGAGAGGAGACTCATGGCTTGTATTAACATATTTTATACACGGAAGTACTACATACAGAATATTCGTAGTGAGCTCTTTGATGTCTCAACGTGAATCGTACATGTACGTACATGTGTGTACATACCCGAACCTGAACTGAACCGAACCAAAGTTGGCAAAAAATTTCTGAACCATGACCAAACCAAGCCCAAACCAAACCTTGGCACCTACTTGCAGCACTAACCCTAACCCTATGGGGTGCCAGGTGAAATTATATTGAAATTGGGGATTAAAGATAGTTACGGTTTGTCTTTCAGCTTTGTTTTAAAAATCCCCCGAATCACATTCCCAAGTTGTATTCAAAACAGACCAAACAATGCAAGTCTTGCATTGCCTATATTCTCAGGCTTAGGTTCCACTAATTAATATGAATTTTCTTTAATTGTTTACTTAGTCTTTGAACAGAGAAGTGTTTATTGAGAGAGTACATTTCTTCCCAACCGGTGGAGGCCTCTGCTTCCCAGCAGTTTCCACCAGGTTTAGTGTCTGTTGACATTTTTAGTAGGCCCAGCTTCAGTTGTGAATATTAACATGCAAAACATAATAGCACTGGCCTTTTAGCTTAATTAACAGCACTTGTGTAAGGATGTGCAGGTTCTGGGCGCACTCAACAATAATGACCCTGCGCGGTGAGTGACAGTGCCACCAAGCGATGACATGCCATTGTGCTGTCTCCCTTGCTGATGGCCTGCACACCGCTTGCTCCTTTCAGGTAAAATTACCCTTTTAATAAATGGTCATTAATGAATTGGAAATAAGGCATTATATTGGGGGCTCTGGCATTATATAATGAAGTGGGGAAATACAGTATTTCAGTGAAACATGGTATAAATTAGAAGTTTCTTTCAGTTTTCTGTAAGTCATGTTGTTCAGTGGACGCCCTCTTGCATCACATTAAGAAAAGTATATTTGGTTGGTCACCCACTTTAATCACAGTTTCAGTTACAGGGGCTCCCAACATTTAATTGATTTGTTTTGTGTGTATAAATTATTATCGTGCAGGTGTGTATAAGGTGCCTCATTTTGGTCATAGAAATTTATTCCTTCAGGTCATTGTGCATGGTGTATTTTGGTTGATCAACTTACAGAATACATGCACATGGGAATACAAAGATCACAGTTTGAATTGGATTTAATCTCTTGAGCAATTGTTGCCTTGGAGAGCAGTCCCTTGCTACAGTAGCTTAATGATTCACAATCATTAATTTGTCACTGTGTAATGACAGTTTGAATTAATCCTTTGCCATGTTAGTATAATTGAAAGTTCTGGATTATTATAATAAAATTATGTGTTTCTGAAAGAGATTTACTGTGAGGTTCAAGATGTGCTCTCACACCTTGACAATTCAGCCTCATTAAGGAAGTGCTGTTTACAACTTGGCAATATTCCAAATTATTTTGTCTAAGAAAAACAACAACTGCTGTGTATCTTTAATTAGTTACTTTCAGTTTCCCGTGGAAGCAACCTGGTAAACAAACCCGAATGGGCATAATTGTCTGTTGTTTGGCATGTGTTGCAAAGTTCATTTTTTATATTTCTGTCAACAAAGTAAGAGTACTGAGTCCCTCACCATCACAAAAATATAAAAACTTTAATTGCTGTCAATACGTACTATACCCTACAAAATAATTTCTCAGTATTTCAATTATAAAACAAGATCATAAGAAGCTAAGGCTTAAATGCAGGCTATTAATTCCAAAACAAAATCAAGTAAGACAAATGGAAATTCACAGACACATGCAGTTGCACAGTTGCCAAAAAAGTCCTGCAACCAGTAAATTTATGAGTGAACCGTTTTTCAACAAGAAATGAAAGAAAAAAATCAGGAGTGCCTCAAAAAATGATGAATAGTCATTTTCCTAGTTCCTGATTGCAAAAAGTATTCTGTCAGATTGCAGCTACAAACAAATCCCTAAATTACGGCGAAATGGTGTTATTAATATAGTATAGTATGTATGTATAGTACCGAATTATTTTCACAGTCTTAGCTTTTAATTTGAACTTACAGGATTGATGAAAGTGACGAGGACACTTTTCCTAGTTCTGGATTAGTTTAACCAGTTCCAAATTGCTACAAAAAGTTCTTCATGAATAAAAAATAACTGCACAGGAAATCCAGGTTGCAGCCAGAACCATTATAGCGAGCTGAATTTCTAATGAAGAATTTCTTCATTTACATGTAGTGAAAATTATTTCATAAATAAGGATTCCAATGAATTACAAAGTAGACATTGTGTAAATTTTGACTAAAATTTTTCAGCTGTGCTGCGAGCTATCAATGACAGTATCCCTCACCTTGCACAGTTGACAAACTCATTACATGACATACATTTCTACTACATCTGTGTAGTTGAGTTTGCAATGTATTTACGTGCAAATAATGCACAATCTGAAACTAGGGAAAAATATTTGTTCAGTTTTTGGCAAATTTTAAATAAACGGAAAGTCTACGAGTCATTCTGATTAAATAGGCATTAGATGCAAAAGTATGAGTATAAAACAAGTATTTGGAATCACAGGTAGTGCGTGACCTATCGTTCCATATACTTTTGTCATTTTGGGGGCTCCTGTGATTTAAGCATTAAAAGTGGCATGTGAATACATGACATATAAAACAACAGTCCACGTCCACCCCAGTCCTTGTCCACCCCACGCCATGCACGGTGGCACATGTGAAGCTGTCGTATGCAAATTGATGTGTTGAGCAACCGTGCGTGTGTATACCTACTGCCTGCCATTCAGAAAATCATAGTGCACTTTCAGTGACTACATGTAGCCTAATTCATGCATCAATGAATGAAAATAAGTATGTTCCCTGGGGATAAAATCTATTTTCTGCATCATGTTATTAGGGAGTCTAGGTACCATACTACCTGTACACAAAAATGATCGGTGCACTTGCACGTCACAACAAAGTACTTTGTCATAATAACATTTGGGGGTAAGGTAAAAGCTGAGAAAACTTCAAACGGGAAGCCTCAAATCTACCTTGACTGATTCTTCAAGTCCAGAGGGTGCCAAGGCCTAGGCCACGGCCGAGTAATTTGGTTGTGAGGTAAAGGCCAAGGCTTTGAAAAAAACCTGTGTCAAGGCTGGCCTTGAGACCTCCAACACTGGCAGAAGGGTGTAGTCCACTAATTCAGGCCCATTGAAAACAGTGTAAAAATCAGCATTGTTCGGGGCCCAATATGCGTACCAACATCCCTGAGGCATCTGAAACACATGTTAAATTATTGTATGATCCATAATCTTTCACTTTCTTTTCAATTTTCTGTGGGTTAACCGATTACATTTCGAGTAATTCCCTCAAAACAAAATTACCCCCCAAAAAGTGATTTTCCAAAGTCTGCTTGCAGCCATTTTTAAGTGACAACCCTCAACTTTCTCGGGCACTTAGGACCATTTTTCAACAGTATTTTTCAGCCATTTTGCTCTCAGATGAAAACCCAAAGACCCAGGGAGTTGATTCTGGCAAAGATTTACTGTGGGGGCACTTTTAATGCTTATCAGCTGGCCAGAAATTCTTGCTTGAATTAGTGGACTGCAGCCAGAAATGACCAGTGCTTTGTTACCTGTGGATAATGAGCTCATTATTTATCCAAAGACACGTACAATCCTGGACAAAATAATTGGAACACCTTTTGGGAAGCATAGTGAAAAGATCCACCTCTCCCCCATTCAATTTTGCAGTCATTTATTGGACCAAGATTCGGCCCAACAACATTGACAGGGGGCTAGGGGGAGGCATGATTTGTCCCGGATTGTAACAGAAACTGCCAGGAACCAGAGGCTAGGCTACCCAGAGTTTAGATAAAATGTATTCAAGTAGCTCATGCTTGCTATGTGCAGAAGGATTTGGCAGGATTGATACTTCTTTCCTAGTGGTACTGGAATTTGCCCAAAAAGGGACATATACAGGTATGCCTGAAGTTTTCAGGTTCGGTATTGCCATCTTGATTTTTTAATAGAAATTCATTAAAATCAACACATGTATGTGGGAAAAATATGCTGTAATACTGTATGAAAAATCTCAAATTCACATCTAGCAACAAAATTTTGTGCAACTGCATATAAACAATGAAACCAACAGCTGTTGTAAATCTGTTGTGAATTACTGTTGCAGCATGAAGATGGCCAATTTTGACCACCATAAACCAATGATGATTCCGTTTGGGATGGACTCTTTGGAACAAATTGGTAAGTCCAGAAATTACTTTGGGGTTTTGTCATTTGTAACAGGGCCCAATTTCATTCCTAGCAGAAAAGTCGTGCTTACTATGGCAGGAAAATTTGCTTATCTTAAGCACTATTTCATGGTAGTGCTTGGCCAGATTGTGCTTATAGTTGTGCGCACACAAAGATTTCCATGTTTGTTTCCCCTAAAATGTAAGCATGCCTTTTATTGTGCTTACTGACTTCTGCCTCCATGAAATTACATGGAGCCTCTGTTAGCAGTGCCATGAAATTTGGCCCTGGTCTTCTGATGGGCCTTGTATTTTAAGTAAATTCCTGTTGCGCTACTCTGGTTGATATTTGTTTTGCATTTTATTTAATTTTTGTAAAATGTTGTTTCTTGAGTTGTTGAGATTTAAAACCATAAGGTAAACCTACATATTAGTGATAAAATTAATCAGCTGAATGGAGTGTCTTGACACTTGAGGTCACAAAAATTTCCACACTTATTTGCTAGCAAGAAGGTCGCCGACTGCTTTACAGACTTCTCAGTATGAAGAAAAAGAGACATGGGTGCAAGGAAGTTGTCCTGTATCATACAGTTCTGATTTCTTTTTTTAAGTCACTGATTGTTGAAGGTAATTGGTGAAACTAATGCATGCAGGCAGAAAAATAACAAAGGATCTTTTTTCAATAAAGATACTGAAATAATTAGGTATGAGAAATTAAAAAAAATATAGTATGCTGATTTACTTGTGAACTGAAACAATCTCATGTCGAGGAGATTATTTAGAATTATTTAGAATTATTTAGAATTATTTGGAACCAACAAAAAGGTGCAGAATTACTTCACTTTCAATCACTAAACTTAGAATAGGAAAATAAGTATTTATGTCCTTTAGTATATTTGTGTCAATAAGAAGACCGAGTCGTTGATAGAATAATCAATTTCAAAATCAAATTCAAAATTTCAAAAAGAAGCCAAGAAGCTTATATTACAGAAGCAAGCTTATAAGTGTTTGAAATGAGAGGGCTCTGTTTATAGGTCTTCTTGTACTAAGTTGTTATTGTGCTTAAAGGATAGTCCAGTCTGAAGTCTTGAAAGGGGGCACACGTAAGTACAAAATAAAACAATTGATTTTTCAGTTAAAAAGGAGGACACTGTACTTCACTAATCACAAACATATTTGAAAATTAACCTCATTGACATAATATTGGTGAAAGTTTAAACTGTGTTTCTGAGGCAATAGACCTACAACATAATGACGTAATGCAGTGTTTACCGGGGTGCATTGTGGGTGAAAGGTGGGGATGTTGCAGGAACGTGTCGATGTGACCCGTTATGTGTTACGTATACCACATGGCAGGTGTTTCGACCTGACATAAAAAAAAAAAATTCCAGATTATCGTCCAAAATGGTTTATGTGAACTGCTGTGTTCCATTGCATTGATCAGCACTTAACAAACGCCAGAGCTGCATTTTTTAACTTCCACAGGACCGCAAAAGGTGACAGATTTGGATAAGTTCCAAATCTGTCGGGAAATAACCTCCTCCCACTCACTTGTCCACAGGAAAATCTTTGGATCTGGTTCATCATAAGTTTTGTCTCTGCCTACAAAATGTAGACTGCATACAGAGGTCCACTTGGACTTCGCTTTGTTGGCCTTATTTCTCACGGAAATCTGTCCCCTTTGTGGTCCCGTGGAAGTTTAAGAAAACGCAGCTTTGGCGTTCCTTAAGTGCTTTATAAAAACAATGGAACACAGCAGTGCACATGGACCATTTCGGACGATAATAGGGAATTTTAATTTTTTTTTCTTTTTTTTTGTGTCAGGTCGATACGCCATATAGTATATGGTGCACATAACGTGTCACGTCAACGCGTTCCTGCAACATCCCCACTTTTTACCCACAATTCAAAGGGGTAAACACTGCATTATGTCATTATGTTGTTGATCTATTCAAAAATGTATGTATTTGAAATTCAAAGGTGGATTCAGGATTGTGCTGGTGGAGATGGTTTTTATGCAAAAGTTGAATAAAAACAATTCATCTTCATCTATAGTTTGAACTGGAGTGTGTCTATCCTTCACATTGGCTTAGAAGGTAAACATGCATCATAAGGTTACCTTAAAACACATGATTCATACTTGCTGAACAAGGAGGCATGCTTACAAAGTCCCAGTAACTTTAATTGAGGTGAAGGTTTCTCATGTTTAATTCTTGCAGTGATACTTATGAGAAGCATGTTTCACAGTGGCTTCCCTGGATCAAAAATCTGCAACTTTCAAATTCAATGCTACTTGAAGCTATGTTTGTTTTTGCAACACAGCTTAAGCAGTATGTGTATCCATGTCCAAAGGAAACAAGGACCACAGCACTTTTTAGCTATGCCTGTCACAGTCTTATGACCAACATCTTCCATGTGGAGAAGAATCCATCAACTGTTACCACTGGCTGTTAATGTGTGTATCAACTGAAAGAAAAAGTACAAATTGTTGTCAACACGTGTACAGTTGGTGCAATGGTTCTGGATCACCTGATAAAATCAGGCTAACTCTTGAATGTTGATTCCACAAACAATTCGACTACATGTACTCTGCTTTTTTCCTGGCAGGGACACTTTCTGCAGGTGAACATAAATATGAAAATAAAGCTTTACAAGTGAATTGATTTTTGTTCGTCTGAGTTTTGCAATTTTGGCTACATAATGACTCCTTTTGTGTGCTTGGACTAACTAAAAATAACCTCTTCAGGTTATCAGCCCTCAGTAACTTTTAATTTTCAACTTTCAAATAAAATTGTTCTTCCTAGCATATGTGCTAGTGTACATTCAGTGACTATTTTGGTATCATTAGAGTTTTCTATTACATATTAACAAATAATAACAATGCCACCAGCTTTCTTGCGTGGAGCTGGCCAAGGTGGGTAGCTTGGGACAGGATCTCCGGTTATGATTGCTGTTACCTTTCCACCCTTTCCAAAATATCAGTGAAAGAGTCTGTGAGACACATACCTAATGGGCAGACCAGAGACATCCTGCAGACTTAATTGATGCTTTCATGTAAGTAAGTGTACCTGCGGTCAATGTGAAGAGGAGTTGGTGGTACGGTCACTGGAGGCCTCACCTTGTAATAATGGTATACTGTGATGACACAGTTTTGGACAGTTACTGTCTAAATTAAAAAAAACACACATTCTGTTATCAAGCAGTAATCACATCAGCCAAAAAGAACCTATTTCAAAAGTATTCATTTTCTAAATGTGTTAGAAAATTATGCAATCTTTCTGAATAAATTTTTTTATCAAAAACTGGTGCAAAAAATTTGTCTTCCCGATTAATGAAGAAAGTTGTTTCCCTACTTTGTGAAGTGGTTCATTCTGTAAATTTTGTGTATTTGTTGACATTCGGTGAAAAGTTTTCTTCAGAAATTCTAATTACTTATACACAGGCTATAGTAGTCATTTCTTGAAATTGCAGTTCCTAGTATCCTAGTGTAGCAATAGCACCTCCTGGATAGAGGATGAAAGGGTGCTCTACATGCACTGCTCAGCAAGTGATCTGACAGTGGGAGTGGCCGATGAGTTATGGGTGAGTCGTAGGATGAGTTGGTGTGTGTGGGGAATAGGAAATAGTCCTCACACTCTGGGCTATCTCACAGGGTTTGATGTTTGCTGAGATTCTGCGGGGTACAACAGTTGAGTTGCCCCTTGCCTGGACGCTTCCAGACTGGGAGCCTGATCTTCAGGTGGCAGATGCAGGGGACACGGAACTCGGATGATGAGCACGTCCTGAAGATCACAGTGTCAAACAATGACATAATCAATAAGATGCCACAGTTTAGAACGAGAGTGCATCCATATAGTCCTCAGCTTGTCTGACAGTTGAAACATTGTGTTAGTGATGACAAAGTTGTGGTCTGCACACAGGCTAGGGAGATAAAGACCATTAGAATTAACGGAATAGACTACATGTCTGCCAATGATGTCACCCCATGCCGTGTGGCTGGAACCAACCCATACTTTTGAGTCACCAAGAAGAAACAGTTTGTCTGTAAGATTGCTCTGAACGTCCAGTCCATGAGATCATAGAACTCGTCCTTCACAGCCTTTGTGGAGGTGAAGGTGGGGATATTCAATTGGAACATGTGAGGTTATAAGGAATTCACAAAGACCAATAGGGGTCTCAGGCAGAAGAAGAAGAAGAGATGTCTTGATGGCCAAACCAGTGCCATGGATCCTGGGAGCCTCCTCCTTGAGCCGTTCCTGAAGGAAAGAATAACCTCCAAGCTCGGTGATTGAGATTTCAAGAGCAAGATGACTTTTGCTGTGTGCAGCAATGTCATTGTCGTAGCAAAGGTGCTCTGTAGCAGTGAGAGGAGTGCGGTGGTGAGGGTGGTCACTAATCTGTGGCCACCTGGATCCATGAGGGTCCGGATGTTCAAGGTCACAGTCCAGTAACGGTGGGCTGGTGAGTGCCAACATTATATTCTTCTGTTGCTTCTGTTTCGACTGCATAGAGGAATGACTTGGTAGGTGCACCTGCCCACCCAGGTTGAAATGGAGTGGGTGTTGTTTAGGCCATCTTTTCTAGGCCTTCAGGACTGGCCCTCTGGATCTGGACTTCTTTTAACCACTTTGTGCCGGGGCATTTTTCAACGTTGATGCTGGGCCGGCATGACTATCATTTTTTCCGTTTTCAAAATCCTTCAACAATTCATCATTCCATTTAACGGTCGTTTATAGCCGCACGGCGTAATCTTTAGGCACTACTCTAAGTTGACAGGTGACCTTCACTGATGCCC